GGGGTGGCGGGGAGCCGGGCCTAGAACAACTGCTGACTAATCTGTAGGCGGGATCACGCGCCCGGGTGTGCGCGCAATGGGTTTGGGGCGCTAGGGTCTCGGCCTGGAACTGAAGGCCAGACTCCCAGCTTGGGCGCCGCCGGGTCTTCCCGGGTGGCGGTTGGGAAGAGCCTGCTCCTGCTCAGGGAGCTCCTCGGACGCGTGGCCTGGGCAGGCAGGGGAGGGGGCCCAGGTCCGGAAGGCCCCACCAGCCCCAGTAGCGGTTGTGATTGAGAAGCCCTTTAATTATCCCTCATCCAATACCCTTGTTTTAACAGAAAAGGAAAGTGAAGCCCAAGAAAATTGAGTTCTTTTGCAAAGTCACAAAACTGAATTGGACCCAGACCCCGGAACTCCCCTCTATATGCACCACCTGGACGAATCTTCCTTGTCCTTGACTTCCCATTCTACCCTCCTGGCTTCCCAGTAAGGTACGCAGGGTCTGATGGTGCACAGTTGTTCTCAGGTGGGGGTTCAAGACGGACACCAACACACCTTGTTGGGGAGTAAGGAGTTTTTCATTAACGCCGTGGAGGGACAGATAAGCAACAACATGGCAGGGGCCCACGTGTCAAAAGTAATCTCATACCTTTGTGAGGATAGGGGGCAGTTTCACAGTACAAACCTGTAGCCAGGCTCTCAGATTCCCTGGCAGGAGGCAGGGAAAAGGGTGGGGAGCAGGATGTGTGGTCATCCATACTCCATTAGATGTAAACTCAACTTCTGTAGGTGAAAGATCCTGGCAGCTAGGATTGTTAGCTGGGGACTCAAAGTGTCTCAGCAGGATGCCTGTTGGTATCTGCGAAGGGAAAAGGCTGCTGCCTGTATTGTGTGTGGCCTGAGCAGCTTCCAAGTTGCATATTATTGATTGAAGAAACTTAGCATATGGTTGAAGATAAAGGCTTAGTGCTAGTGTGCTTACCTAGGATGTATGAGGCCCTGGATTCGATTCCTACCACCAAGGAAGAAAAAAAAAAAAAACAGGTCCAGAGGGTTCAAGTACCAGTTCTATAAGTCCATGGGCAAGTCCCTTACCCTTGCTAAGGTGCCCTGGGGTGGAATGGTTGTGAAAGGTACAAGAGGAAGCTTCAGTTGTATGACCCAGTAAGGGTGACATCTGCCTGCTTTTCTGAACAGCCCAGCACCACAGGGGAAGGGCAGAGTTCACCCCAAATCCCCTAAGCAAGACCTGGAGCCAAGCTAATATCTTAGTGAACACGTAGGAAGCTCTGAATATGTACAAGGAATAATGCCCTGGTGAACTTTGAGATGAGAGGAGCCTCTTTCCTCCCTATGAATTTGAACCACTTGCCTAGGGAGACAGGCCAAGCTTTGCTCATTAGGATAAGATCCATGAGTTGGAAAGGGACATTTGAGCTGAGCTTCAGACTGTGACTAGATTGCCTGTTAGTGGGATGGAGGAAAGGACTTTGCTGGCAGAGGAGATTTTCACATGTTTCCTATAGGAAGCTGGCAGATGCAAGGGAAGCCTTTGGTGTGAAGGTTAACCAGACAGCTTCTTGTGTCTGGGATCTGCTTTTTGTCCTGAATCAGCTTAGGAGGAGTCCAGAGATGAAGAGGACTGACTTGGGACTAGAGCAGGACCTGAGTCAGGGGAGAAAAACTTTGCTCTGTCAGAAGAGGACAACTGTGTTTAGGGACCAGAGTTAGGACCAGTTAGGCCTTTGCTTGACAGCTATATATGCCTCCCATAGGCAGTGTGATGGTGCTTTTGGGTTTCTTGACAGAGAGCTGTGGACCAAACCAAGTGTGGTAGTGCAAGTTTGTGACCTAGCATTCAAGAGGCAGAGACAGGAGGATCTCATATTCCAGGCCACCTTGAGACCTTGAGAAAAAAGCTTCGAAAGAAAGTTGTGGATCTTAAGTCTATTCCTTTTCCTTATCCTGTAAAGAAAGACTGTCCTAATTCCCATTTCACAGAATGGGAAACTTGCCTAGGGACACACAGCAGAAGGATGGAGCAGACACTGGAATAGACCTGCGCAAATGAGGCTAGGGCCAAGGCTGGGGAGAAGCAGGTGCCTGAGGCTTAGAATGTGGGAGTCCTACAGCTCTGCTCTCACACTCCCTCCCAAATCTGCTTGCTGTGTCTTCACCTTGTTCAGGGGTTGCTGAGGCCTTCTGAAGCTCCTAAGGCTGGGCATACTAGAGGAGAGGGAAGAAGCAGGAGGCAGGAGGCCAGAGCTGGCCTTGTCTTTATCATCACCAGGGAGAGTGTACCCATTTGTTTGACAGTGAAGAGCTCCAGTTCAGTGAAAGGCCCGTATCCTCATCTAAAACGCCTCTTGAGGTCCTATCAGACTCTTTTGTTTTATTTTTCTGAAACAGGGTTACATATAGCTCAGGCTAGCCTTGACCTAAGTATAAAACCAAGAATGATTTTGAGCTCTTGGATTTATTTTTATGTATTTGTTTTACAGCACTGGGAATCAACCTGGGTCCCTATGCATGCTAGGTAAGCACTCTACCACTGATCTGGATCCCTAGCAACCTTTCATTCCTGATCCTCTTGCCTCTGTCTCCCAAGTCCTGAAATTACGGATGTGTATCACCATACCTCGCCTCCATCAGGACTCTGCATGTCTCCTACACATTTCACACATAGGCAGGAGGGATAGGAAGATGGCTAATAAGCATATAGGTTAGGCCAAGCTACTGGACCTGCCTCTGTAGCCTCAGTTTCCACCTCTGTAAAATGGGGTTATTGGTAAAGCAATTGAGGAGTCAGATAAAAACTGCAAAAATAATTTGTTATTGTTTTCCTTTACCCCAGCACACAGCCTTGGGATCACCTTTGACCATTCTCAACCAAGCTATGCATGCCTGGGACCCCAATGGCCCACTGTCCCCGGCACTGCCTCTTGCTTCCTCAGCTCTGATGCTGCTGCTGAGTAGCCTATGGCTACTGGGGGCTGGCCCCAGCCTCACACTGGCTCCCGAACTGCTGTTGAACCCCTGGCAGGGTGAGGACTGGCTACACAGACCTTGAAGGAGGCTGAAGACTTGCTCCAGGCCTGAGACTAGTTAGCAGAAGTCGTGTGTACTTTGTGGTGGTTATTTAGGAATAGAACCCAGTGCCCTGGGGAAGGCTAGCCCTTAACATGCCCAGCTCATCCAGCTAGGGTAGAGGGCAGAGCATCCTGAAGGAGGCAGAGAGTGAGGTGAGCCGCTGTGGGTAAGAGTTCTGACAACTTTCCTTAAAAACCTGAACTAAGGTTTCTGGCTAAGCATGTACTTCCCATTAACAGCTTGTTTACATTTGAGGAACCCAAATGATGTTCAGAGAGGTTAGGTGAGTTTTCTAAGGTCATGCAGCTTTTTGAGAGTAGGTAGTTCCAGCATGTAGTTTCATTAGACCTTGAGCAGTTAACCAGTTGTGAAGGACTTGGTGACTGTGTTAGCACACAGCTTCACTGCACTGAGGTGTGTAGCTCTGCTCAGTGGTTGGTTGCTAGTGAAAAGACTTGAGTGCTGGTTCCCTTACATATAACCAGGGAGTAGCTGTGGGGTTCAGAAGCCCTTGGTCCCCCTAGCAGTGATTAGGTAATGGCACTGGACATACCGGCTCTTGGGAAGAGGGGTTGGCCCATCAGATGGCTCTGGTGCAGGAGCATCCATCCACCTGGGACAGCCTTGAAGGTTGGGGGCCACTGACCTGGCACCCTTCTCTCTCCCAGTGCACCGGCTGCTGACTCATGCTCTGGGCCACACTGCGCTACCAGGCCTGCTCCTGAGCCTGCTGCTCCTGCCCACTCTAGGCAGGTGGCAAGAGTGCCACCTGGGCACACTGCGCTTCCTACATGCCTCTGCTCTGCTTGCCCTGGCCACTGGGCTGCTGGCTGTGCTGCTGGCAGGCCTTGGGGTGTCCAGTGCAGCTGGAGGCTGTGGATACATGCCTGTCCACCTGGCCATGCTGGCGGGTCAGAGTCACTGCCCTGGATGGCCTTGGTTGCCACCATGGCTACTGCCATGGCTACTGCTAGTCCTGACCCTGCTACTCAGCTCCGAGCCACCCTTCCTGCAGCTCCTTTGTGGCCTTCTTGCTGGTATGGCCTGTATCCTTTGCCTGAGCCCAGGATCCACATGAAAAGATCTGGGAAAGAAATGACAGGGGAAGTCAAACCCAAGCAATGTCAGGTGACTAAATACCAGTACATCTTCCTCTGAGCCATGCTCTGGTCTGGAGACAGGGCTCATGGCCAGTTACAATTAAAGGACCCCATGGGGTGCTTGGGAGAGCTGAGGGGGCCTGAGGATTCACTAACTTGGGTCCTGTGTAAAGGTGGCATCTACGCTGAAACAAGCAAGAGGTAGGGTCCAGGTGAAGTGAACTTGGGGAGCAGATCAGACGTGGCTCAGCAAAGAGAAAGACTCAGTGTAGGAAGGAGCTGAGGGCTCTCTGGTGGCCCCTGGTGCTGGTGCTTTAGACACAAGCTTTGCTCCCAAGATGCAGAAAAATGGCCACCAGAGAGAATAGGCTGGTCTCTTCAGGCAGTCACAGGGGACCCTGTTTCAGAATGGAGACACCAGCTACTATTCTGCCTAAGGGTAGAAAGAGGTGTCCTCAGGTACAGAGAGCCATGGGAACAGAGGGTTGAGGGGTAGCTGTGGAGAGCAGGGTTTGGGGGAGACACTCATTGCTCTTTCCTTCTGACTGAATAGCTTCAGGTGGGCAGGTCCCTTTTGTTTCCGAGCTTTGACTGCTGACTTGGGTGACGATGTGGTCCTGCAGGGCTATTGCAAGGGGAGGGGAGTACACGGGAATGTCTAGCACACACTTGGCATGGGGCCTTCCCCTCCCACTCCTCCTCAGTTCATTTTGGTTTTCCTTGACCAGCTGCCCTGCCCTGGGCAGACAGATGCTGCTGGGGCCTTCCGGTGGCTAGAGTTCTCAGAGCAGCGACTGCAAGTGTTGCAGGAAGGTATCCTATGTAGGACTCTGGCCCAGTGCTGGCCACTGAGGCTCCTTCCCACCCCAAGCAGCCTGACTGAGCTGCCTGTCACTTATCCCACTGGAATGAGGTGAGGGTAATTCTGGGGGCCCCAGCTGATGATGGAAGCTGACAGTGACTGGCAGCCCAGGCTATCCACTTCTGTCTCTACAGGCCTACCACCTCTGGACCTCCTTACCTGACCTCCCCAGCCCCCTGGTCCCACAGTGATGGCTCTGCCTGGTTCCCACCAGGCCTGAGGCCTGTGCAGCTGCTGTGGGAAGAGGGCTTAGACTGGGCTGGATCTAGCTTTGCTCCAGGAACCCCAACGTGGGCCGCCCTGGATGAGCAAATGCTACAGGAAGGGATCCAGGCCTCACTTCTTGATGCATCAGTCCAGGCTCCCCAGAGCTCAATATGTTTGCCCAAGGCCTCTGTGTCTTCTTTACGGTAAGCCAGGGTGGGCAGGGATGTGGCCTGGTGTGAGGGCCATGCTGCCTTGACATTCCCTCCTTGTCCCCACCACCTCACAGGCTGCAGCAGCTAGAGCACATGGGCTTCCCTACTGAGCAGGCCGCAGTGGCCCTGGCAGCCACAGGCCGAGTGGAGGGTGCTGTGTCCCTGCTGGTGGAAGGGCTGGTGGACACTGAAGCCCTGGTGACTGAGGGGAGGAGTGGTCCTGCCCACTATAAGGGTTGTGGGCCCCCATAGCCAGGAAGAGAACAGAGGACATAGGCCTGTCCTAGGGGCAAGTAACCTGAACCCCTGCTCTGTTTCGTGGGGGCTTGGTGGGGTACAGGGTATCCCTGGGGGCAGGGTGACCCCTGGCATGTTACCCCGATACTTTCTGAGAATAAAAGCCAGCTTGTTTTTCAACTTGGTCCCCTGGGTGGCAGTCATGTCTGGCTCTTCTGTGTTAGCATCGGAGAAGACGAACGATTGAGTGAGCAACCCGTGAACGAGTAGCTGATAGAGGGCAGTTCCTGGTGTCTGGGGCCACAGGGCTCCTACTCCACTATCCTCAGGCCTTGTGCCTAGGTCAACCCTTTGGGTGTCCTGTCCAGGCACACAGAGACCATGCTGGGTGGGCAGGAAGGGGGCCTTTATTGTCCAGTACATAACAATTCTTGGCATCTGCAACAGGCACTTGGAGTCAGAGTTCCACTTTTGTACATCTCATCCATACATGGGACACTGGGGAGGAACTGGTACTTGGGGTAGAACTAAGGTAAGGAGCACCAATATTCAGTCAGGATCTAAGCAGCCTGTACTCGGGTAGGAACCCAGCACCAGAAAACACGAGGACTCCCCAAGGTTTGGAAGGAGGGGACCAAGAGACTAACGACCCCATCCCCACATGTCCTGAGGGCCAGGCAGACTGCCAGCTCCCTGCTTTGAAGAGCTGAGAAGATGAAGAAAACCTTGTACCTTGTTCCTGCAGTCAAGGCCTTTTCATTCCATTTCTCAGAGGGAACTAGGCCAGCTCCAAAGAGGTCTTACTGCTTCCTCTCAGGCCCTAGTCCCTGCTCAGTCTGAAATGTACAGGCTGCTATGACAAAGACCTGCCTACCCCTAAGGCCTAGATGGCAGAGGGGTCCCTGAGGACGTTAATAAATATGAATTGGCAGTCCCCGAGGCAGTTGGCCAAGTCTAGGCTAGGGAGGGAAGCCCGGTATGAAATCCTGAACAACGGTCACTACCACCCTCAGCCCTTCTCATTGTGTCTCCTGGGGGCCACAATCCGATAGTTGGTTGTGTGTCCTCCCCTCTTGCCCCGAAGGAGGCTAGGGGTGCCCGTGCCACCAGGGTCTGCTCCAGACCCCAGCTCTGGTTCTGTCAGAGAGAATAAGAAGGAGAGAGGCTATGTTAGGGGCATTCATATGGGGTGCCCACCTTTCCTTGGCCTTCTGGAGGTGTCAGGGCACCCTGGCATCCCAGAGGCAGAGCTGTGGGAAATATGGGTGTCTGCAGGCTGCTTAGTGCCTCTCCCAGAACCTCTAAGCCCCCGGTCCAGTGAGAGTACTTAGCCATTTGATGCCTACTTTGTCAAATGGGGATGACCAGACTTAACCACATTTACATGCAAATATTTGGCATATGGATAACACTTCCCTAAGAATTTTTTTTTTTTTTTTTTTTAGTCATTTGGAGTGAAGGTGTATTCTGAATCATCTCCATTTTGTAGCCAGATAATCTGGGGCTAGGGAACAAATTTTTTCTCTTTCCTTGGGCTATGCCACCAGTTGAGGATAAAGGCTCTGCCTCTGAACTACTGTGTAGCCTCAGGCAAGTTGGACTTCTCTCAGGGCCACAGTGTTCTGATCTCTAAAATCAAGGACATTTTCACAGAGATCCTGAGCACTCAGATAGCTTCAACAAGGATTAAAGTCAGTTCCAATGGGAACTGAGAGATGGCCCAATCTGCATATAAGCTGAACCCCCTAGGAGTAGAATTCTTGCCCTCTGGAAAATTGGCATCTTTCAAGCTCAGAGGAGGAGCTTTGTCTATGAAACCTGTTAGATTTGGGGCCTCTGGAGCAGGTGTATGGTCACTGAAGGGGCTTCCGTGTACTGTGTCAGGGAGTATGGAAGGGGGTCAGCACAGAGCCTCAGCTCCAGCACTGTCTAGGCCCTGCCATGTCCCAGTCCCCTTGGGCAAGTCACAGATCTTTGAGCCTTATCTGGAATACAGAGATAATATTCCTGTTGTCAAGCTGTCAACACCCTTGTGACCAGGAGTGGAAGATGATTTTCATGGTTACCAGGTCTCCTGCAGGTCTGGCCACTATGATTTGGGTCACAACATGCACAGATCTAGGGTGTTGTGTTTACCCTGGGTTCCACTCACTACCTGGCCAAGTGGAAGTTTCAGCAAACCTTTGCTAATGGAATTTCAGAGGGCAGACTTAGGCTGGAGCCCAGGCCTTACAGACACTACCCCCACGAACTTGAGGGAGTCAGATGAGCAGAGGGCCTGGTAGAGAGCTTGTTTCCTCATCTGTAAAGTAGGCATCACCCACCTGACAAGCTTACTCTAAGGACTGGAGATGATCAATGTAGATCCTCTCTGTCCAGGTGGCTCAGATGAGGAGGAGCCATCACTGTTATTGATGGCAACCCAAATGTGAACACCATCTGGTCTTTAGTTGGTACCTGCTATGTATTCTGGGCCCATCTGGGAGGTCCCTACTCCCAGCTCCAGAGGGTTCCCTTCTCCCTTCACATCTCCCTCTAAGCCCCAAGACAGGCTTGCTTGAGTGGCCAGCGTATCCTGGACTTTTTTTTTTTTTGATTTTATGTGTATAAGTGTATTGCCTGCATGTATGTGAGTGCACCCATGTCATGCAATGCTGTAGAGGTCAGAAGAAGGCTTCAGATTCCCCTGGAACCAAAGTTAAGAACGGTTCGTAGCCGCCCTGTGGGTGCTGGGAATTGAACCTGGGTCCTCTGCAAGAGCAGTCAGTGCTCTTAACCGCTGAGCCGACTCTCCAGCGCCCCCATCCTGGACTTGTGGCTACTAATGGGGGCCTGATACTTCCTTCTTGGGTAGTCAGAGGCATAGCTGGCTAAAGACAAGCAGGGTCAGATCCAGGATCACAGTGGCCCAAATTGGGTCCTTTCTAGCTCTTGCCCTAAAGGAGGTAGGGAGCACCTGAAAAAGTGCTGGGAATCTGGGATTTGGTCCTTGGTCCTTTGTTCCCTGTGATCCCTCAGGTCATTCGGAGCCAGTGGGGATGAAGGACAGATGCTAAGGGCTTCGGGGCAGGAGCATGGGTATGTCTCCATCAAGACCTTGGTCTCTTTTCTTAAGGTGGGGTCAGGCCTGCCATAGATCAAGTTTCTAGATGGGTAGGGAAGAAGGTCTGATAAATAGTCTCATGTTTCTAGAATTTTAGAGAAACCATGAAGCTAATGGGTGGGGCTTTAGAAACAGACCATGTACATTTTTTTTTCTTTTTGAGATAATATCTTGCTTGGTAGCCTGGGCTGGCTTCACATTTGCTATCCTCCTGTCTCAGCCTTCGAGTGCTGGGATCACAGGCATGTAGTCATCATGCCTGGCTTGGGCCACACACACTTCAACCTCTAGATCTTGGCCCACATTAGACTCCTGTCAGGGCTGTCCCTCTCACCTTCTGTACCTAGCATAACTTGGCATCTTCCATTACCTTGCACAGGGATCCCTCTTCCAAGAAGTCTCCAATCTCTAGTGAGAAGGGCCCATATCCTTGAACACTCCCATCTTCTAAGTGACTAACAGTAGCTCCTCAACAGTCCACCTAGTCTACAGGGCCCCAGTGCCCACCTGAGCCTGGCATCCAGTGGGTGCCTCCTGATTTTGCCAAAAGAATAATTGGCTTTAACCTTGACCCTCCTTCCCACTTGGGGCCTCAGTTTTTACTTAATAAAACAGGCAAGGTTGAACACAATATGGAGGCCTCTGTGCACTGGTGGGCACATGGGCTGTGAGGCTGGATGGTGTGTGGAGGGGACAGAGAGCAGCCGGTGGGGTGGAGGGCTCTTAGTGGGCAGATGAGGAACAGCCCAGTCCTGTGGTTGGTCAACCCTATTGCTCAGCACCAGCTATGTGCTTTGGTCTAAGGTGTATGGGGGAAGTGATGGCTTCACATCTCAAAAACCTTGAGGAACAAATCCTGTAGACTTGTTGGCCTTTGTTCTTCTGCCTGTTGAGTCTTTCATGATCCTTGCCCTTCTGGTCTTCGCTGAGACATCACTCCTCCAGGAAGCCGTCCTTCACTATCCCCTCATAGACTGACTTCCTCCATCCTTCATGGTAATGATTGAACCCAAGGACTTGTACATACAGGTTTTTTACCACAGAGCTACAGCTCCAGCAGGCCAGAGGCTATGTCCATTTCACTATTACCTATCTCTCCTTGGCTTTCATTGCCAGTGCCAAGGCCACCTCAGCTCCCTAAGCTGCACCAGGGCAGGGCTACTTTTATTGAATGTGTTGGAGCCTGTGTCAATAGGTGACTGACAGAGCAGGAGAACTAGGTACTGGACCCTTCCCCTTGTCAGGCCATTTGTTTGATGGATGGTAGGATGAAGAGTGAGTGTCTGCTGACCCAAGCCCAGCACTGGGAGGCACCTTCTGCATGCCCATGCCTGTCCCAGGCCCTTCCTGGGAGGGATTGCCCCTGCCTGCCCACCCTACCATTACCTGGCCAGATGATGGCTTCTAGCAGGGTGACCCGTCTGGCCAGGAGCTCCAGCTGGGCCTGCTGCTGCAGGAAGCTCTGTAAGCTAGGAGCCTGATGGGAGATTGAGAAGAGCAGACAGTGCGAGTCTGGCCTCCGAGGGCTGGGCTGGGAGCTGAGGGGGTGGTGAAGGAGGGTATCCAGGGCAGGAGTCTGGATGAGTGTCCATCAGACCTGTGTCGCCTCCTAAGGTAGGGAGAAGGCTTACCTAGCTCCTCAGGTAGCCAGATGGGTAGGGATCTGCAGGGTGAATGCCTAGGGTAATACTGTCTTGACCCCTGACAGGAACTTCAGGACAAGAGTGAGAACTATGGGAGAGATTCCTTGGGCCAGGAAGGCAGGTCCAGAGAGAGCCTCTGGAGGTTTGTGGAAAGGTGGTCAGAACTGGTAGGTGGTATTATTATCCCAAGCATCTGGGTTCTGAGTCTGGTTTTGTCACCTCAATTCCTGGCACTTTTGGAGTCTAACTGCATGACGTATCATCCTGTAGTTTTGGAGACTGTCTCCATTGCCCTGACTTCTCTAGAACTGAAGCCCAAGTAGAGTCTACATGTTACCCACAATCCTCCTGTGGTCCTGGGCTTTGACTATATGACCCATGACTCCAGTCTAGTTGTCCACAGTTCTTTGCTAATCTGGAGTTTAATTCTACATAATTTCTTCCAAATCTCATATTCTGTTGTCGCCAATCCTCTGCAGGCCTGTAAAACTATGTTACCCACAATACCCAGAGGCACAGAGCTGACCCCAGGAGCAGAGATCTTCCCCTGAGGAAGTAGTATCAGTCACTGAGGGATGGGTGGCCTCAACAGCCTCTGCTTTTCCAGCCTCATGATTGAGTTCAGGCCAGTTCCATCCCAGGAGGGCTTGGGGAAGGCTGGCAAGTAGGGGCTGGGCTGTCTGTCCGTCTGTCTGTCTCTACTCACCATAGAGCCCAATCATTGTTTCCAAGATTAAAACCCTTTCAGCTAAAATCTTCAAAGCCTCGCGTAGTTGGTGCAACCCCTCCCCCTGCGGAGGAAAGAGACAGATGCAGCCGTGATGGGGGCAGGGAAGGGACCCTGCAAAGCCTGCTGGTCGACATGCCTCACCCGGGACATGCACCTGTAACCCTGTACCACCTACTACATCCCATGGGCCCATGGATAATCAAGACCAGGAAGGAAAAGGAGGGGAGCAAGGCAGGCGGAAGCAACCCCTGAAGACCACGTTTGATCCCAGCGGGTGATAAACTGTGCCTCTTTGGATGATACCAGTCTACTCCTCCCAAAGCCTGCCACACATTTGTTCCCAAGGTGGTGCGGAGCCTGTCCTCTAGTCTCTGTTCTCATGTCAATTGCTCTTACATTGTGCTCCTAAATCCTATCACATCCCTGGACCCACTACCTGTCCTCCTCTTGTTCCCTCGCTTTTTTCTTTTTTCTTCCATTTTTTCTTTGGTTTTTAATTTTTGAATTTCCTTTTTCTCTGTGTTTCTGTTTACTCATATTCTTCAAATTTACTTTTTGTTTTAAATGAACATGTCAGGGGGCTGGAGATGGCTCAGTGGTTAACCCTGGTTGCTTTTGTAGAGGATCTGGGTTTGGATCCCAATACCCACATGGCAGCTCACAACCGTTCATAACTACAGTTCCAGGAGATCCAACACCTTCTTCTGACCTCCATGGGCATTGCACAACACAGATACACTTACATACATGTAGGCAAAACAGTCATACACATAAAATAAAAATGAATAAGTAAAAAAAATTAAATGAGCATCTTAGCCTCCCAGTCTGCCCTTTCCTTCCCTGGCACCTGTGGTCTTGTCTAACACTTCATATCCTCTCACTCCTTCCTTGTTTCTAGTTTAGATGGAAACTATTTTTCAAGAATGTTGGTATCTTCCAATAGAGCACCAAGCAACTACCCTGAGGCCTGATATCATCTAGAAGTCTCTCTTGCCTTCTTAGTTGAGGTCAAGTGAGGGATGCATTTTTGTATAATTACTCCTACCCCTCCGTGTGTGTGTGTGTGTGTGTGTGTGTGTGTGTGTGTGTGTGTGTGGTGTATACACTCGTGTGGGTCCATGCACCTATGAGTACACACACGTACAGGGGCTTCTGTTGCTCTCTACCTTATTAATTTAATTTACTTTAATTTTTTCTTTCTTTTTTTTTTGAGACAGAGTCTCCCTATGGCCCCAGCTGATCTACAACTCTATATAGACCACACTGGCCTCAACCTCACAGAGATCCATCCACCCTCCTCTGCCTCCTAAGAGCTGGGATTAAAGGTGTGCCCCACCACACTTGGCTCTCTACGTTTTTTTGTGTGGTTTTTTTGGTCTTTTTGAGACAGGGTCTCCCTGTAGCCCCAGCTGTCCTGGAACTCACTATGTAGATCAGGCTGTCCTTGAACTCACAGAGATCCGCCTGCCTCTGCCTCCGGAATGCTGGGATTAAAGGCGTGTGCCACCAAGCCCAGCTGTGTGGTTTTTCTTTTTTAATGTTTGTTTGGTTTTTTGAGATCACTATGTGGCTCTGGCTGACCTGGAACTTGCTATGTAGACCAGGCTGGATTCAAACTGGTAGAGATCCACTTGCCTCTGCCTCCTGAGTGCCTGAGTGCTGGGATTAAAGGTGTGCAGCACCATGCCCAGCCTTATTTAGAGTTTTAAAAAAAATTTTATTTATTATTTTTATTTTATGTGTGAGTGTATTGCCTGAATGTATGTGAGTGGCACCCGTGTTGTGCAGTGTCTCGGAGGTCAGAAGAGGGCTTCGGATTCCCCTGGAACTGGAGTTAAGGACAGTTCATAGCCACCATGTAGATGCTGGGAATCGAACCCGGGTCCTCTGCAACAGTAGTCAGTGCTCTTAACCACTGAGCAATCTCTCCAGTCCCCCTTATGTAAAGAATTTTAAACCATTTTATTTACATATTTATGTGTACCACCTGTGTTTGGGTACTCACAGAGGCCGGAAGATGACATTGTATCCCCAGGAGCTGGAGCCACAGAAGGTTAGCTGCCTGACCTGGGTACTGAGAACTGAACTCAAATCCTCTGGAAGAGCACCAAGTAACTGCTGAACCATCTCTCCAGCCCCTTAAATATATTTTTATTGCTTGGTAGCACACCTTTAATCCCAGCACTCGGGAGGCAGAGGCAGGTGGATCTCTGTGAGTTCAAGACTAGCCTGGTCTACATAGTTCCAGGCCAGCTGGGGCTACAGGGAGGCCCTGTCTCAAAAGACTTAAAAAAACAAACAATAATAACAAAAAACAGGTGTGGTGGCACATGCCTTTAGTCCCAGCACTTGGGAGGCAGAGGCAGGTGGATCTCTGAATTTGAGGCCAGCCTGGTCTACATAGTGAGTTCCAGGCCAGTTGGGGCTATAGAGAGACCCTGTCTCAAAAAGACAAAAAAAATTATATATATATATTATATGTGTGTTTACATGCATGAACCACAATGTGCATGTGGAGGTCATAGGACAACTTGCTAGAGTCAATTTTCTCCTTCTACCATGTGGATCCCAGAGATTGAACTCAGGTTATCAGGCTTGGTGGCAAATGCTTTTACCAGCTGACCTATCTCAGCCCACCTTCCCTTATTTTTTGAGATAGGGTCTTACAGTGAACCTGAAGTTTGTCATTTCAGCTAGACTGGCCAGCCATTGAGCTCCTAGGATCTGCCTGTTTCTATTCTGCAATGCTGAAGTTACCGGTATGTGTGGCCATGCCTGACTTTTATGTAGGTGCTGGGGATTCAAACTCAGACCTCTTTGCACAGCAAATGCTCTTACTCATTGAGCCATCTCCCCAGCCCCCCCCCTTTTTTATTGTGTTTGGAGGCCAGAGGTTAATGTTGGGCATTTTTCTTAATCACTCTCCATCTTATTGATTGGAGCAGGGGATCTCAATTGAACCAGAGCTTGCTCTGGGGATCTGGCCTCTGCCTTTTGAACACTGGAATTAAAGGTAGGCTGCTATATCCATCCAGCATTTATGTGGGTAGGCTTACCATCCTTCCAGCCACCCCCTGCCCACACTACTTTGTTGTTTTAAAGACAAGATCTCACTCTGCATTCCAGATTGACCTAAAATTCATAGCACTTCTGCTTCAGCATCCCAAGTGCTGGGATTACAGATGTGAGCCTCTATCCCTGGCTCATCATCCAACCCTTTGAAGCAGTTGTCCCTATAAAACATCTAAAAAAGTTATAGAGACCTCCCAACACTTCCATTATGAGTTTGTTCACTCTCTGGAGCTGTTCCTTATGATCCAGCTATCCTGTCAATATCATAAGGATTGGGCTATCCTAGGCCCACTGAAAATGGCCATTTCAGCCTGGGGTCCTGGGGTCACTATAGGTCACATGCCAAAGTAATCCCTCCTCAAGTATTATAGAAGCAGGATGTGAAAATGGATCTTGGGGTTAGGGAGATGGTTTGGTGATAAGAGCTCTTGGTTTGCAAGTATGAGGATCTGAATTTGGATCCTCTGCCCCTTCCCATCCCATGGCCATACATGCCTGTAACTCCAGCGCTGGGGAGGTTCAGAGACAGGAGGATTGTTGGGGCTTGCTGGTTGCCAGCCTTGCTGAAAAATGGTCAGCTCCAGGTTCAGTCACAAGGGGGATAAGGCAGAAAATGATAGAGGAAGACACCTGATGTCCTCTCATTACCGCATGCATGTACAAGGGCTGGCACAACCACACACGCATGTACACACAGGCATATACCACATACACAAAATTTTTTTTTTTTTTGGTCTTTTTGAGACAGGGTCTCCTGTAGCCCCAGCTGTCCTGGAACTCACTATGTAGACCAGGCTGGCCTTGAACTCACAGAGATCCGCCTGCCTCTGCCTCCCGAGTGCTGGGATTAAATGCGTGCGCCACCACACCCAGCAAGAAATTGTTTTAAGGACCGGAAAGATGGCTCAGCAGTTAAAAGAATTTGCTGCTCTTCCAGTTCCCAGCACCCACATTGGGCTGCTCACAACCACCTGTAACTCCAGTTCCAAGAATTCAACACTCTCTTCTGGCCTCTGCAAGCACCTGTACACA